AAAGCCCCAGTAGATAGTTGTACGTCATAGGTTCACATCCTTCTAGTTGCTGTACGTGGGACTCGGCCTCGCGTTGGACGGAGAAGTGTTGCCTCGGGGCGCTCCCGGGATCCGAACCCGGGCCGCCAGCATCAGAGCGCGCGCACTTAACCGCTAAGCCACGGGGCCGGCCCGACATTTCTTTTTTAAGGAAGGATAGAGATGAGGTTAACTAGTAGCCATTAGAGAATAAAAAGTTGTTTTGTTTTTTAAGGTGGGATAGGCCTACTCTCTCCAAAACATCTTCCACTGAAACAAGAGGAAGAGAAATAAGTACAAGTGAGGCCATATCTTGTGGGATAGGAGTGGAGAGCAGAAAGTGAGAGAAGTTCACATCTAATGGGCTCTATTATCTCTGAAAATAGAAGACAGGATGATTAGAAACAAATGGGGTAAGAAATATACTCAGTGGAATTGCTGAGTTTGATAGGAAGGAACAAAAGATCTTCTGCAATACAGTTATATAAGGCTTGATGTTTTGTGGATGTTTTTGTGAATGAAAGAGGACAATCATTCATCAAATACACTCTTGGGGAAACTGGTATTCTTCAAGGTAGACTAAAATATTCTGCCTAAATAGTTTAAATATTAAATAATTTATAATTTTAATGAATAATTAAACATTTGCAGAAAAAATTAAATGAGTTGATTGCATCTTTAATTTCCTTTGGTAAGGATTTTTAATAGGATCCAAAAAGTACTAAACATAAAGCAAAAAATCTTGATAAATTAAACTACACTAAAATTAATAACTTCTCTTCATAAAACACCACCATTGAAAGAGGGAAAATGCAAGTCACAGAGTGGGAGGAGATATTTGCAAACCTATACAGAATATACTGGTACGTAGAATATGTAAAGAACTCCCATAAATTGATAAGAAAAAAAGCAGATAACCCTATGAAAATTGGCCAAAAGCATTAAATGCAATTAAAGTCATAATACGATACCACTACACACCCACTAGAATAATTAAAATGAAAAAGCCAAATAATACCAAGTATGGCAAGGACATTGAGTAAATAGAACTCTTAGACAGGGCTTGCTGTTATTTGAGTGACTTAGAGCTCACTCAGTGGGAAAAGCCCCATCCCTGGGATATTTTTAAAAAATAATCAGCAGAAATGATTTAACATTGCAGCACCTAAGGTACCGATACCAGTAGGGGAAAACAAGAGGCTGGCCAAAAAACTTAAAGGGAAAAGCTGAGACATGATATACCCACACGGTGCTTTGAAAAGACCTGACATATTCCTGGGCATCTAGAAGGCCACATGCATGTGCAGGGCTATGCACATGTCCAGGAAAGACCTGAGAAGACCCTAATCTTTTATCTTTGGCTCTTCTTGAGGCTCCTCAGCAAAGGGTTGAAAACACAGGATCAAGGCATTTGGAAATTTCTTTCCAATCATTACCTCAGCACTAAGCTAACCCAGCAGAGACTGCAGTGGCCAGACATGACAGTGAAGAAAGACTTTACAGAACTGCCGCAGAAAAGTCACCAAACAAACAAATAGCAACAACAAAAACACACCCTGGGTGGTGGAGGTGGTGGGGATTTCACTAGTGAATTCTAATAAACATTTAAAAAATTAATATCAATTCTTCACAATCTTTTCTGGAAAATAAAAGAGGAGGGCACACTTCTCTACTCATTCTAAGAGGCCACTATGACCTTGATACCAAAACCAAAGACATTACAACAAAAGAAAACTACAGACCAATAATGTG